CTCCTCCCCTACCCACATGCAGACGCCTTCCTCATTGAGGCTTTAATTGCCTTCACTTGGACTACTACCAGAAGTAGCCTTCTGGTTGATCTCAGCCTGAAGTCTCTCTCCAAGGTTATTGATCTTTCTAAAATATAGGACTGTTACTTTCTTCCTTCTTCCCCCAAGTTAATGAGGTTGATAATTGATGAGGAGTAGGACCAGTTCATCCTTCTAGAATGAGGCAAAGGAGGAGAGTATGACAGCAGATGATGTTGGGGGTGAAATGTGCATTTGAGGAGGAATGGGAATTCTGATCAATTGAATGACCAGCCACAATTCTAGAACACTTTTCATGAAACATGCTAATTGACTCCTGATAGAGAGGTGACAGGATACAGACTGAGACTTTTTTTGGGACATTGCCAATTTGGGAAATTTGTTTTGCTAAAATATACATGTTTGTATGAACAGTTTTGTTTTTATTTATCAGTTTAGGGGATGGGAAGGTGGCAGGGAGAGAGGATGAATTTTTGATTGGAAAATAATTTCTAAATAACAAAATATGCAGAATGAAATACATTTTTAGACATAGTATAGGAATTTTAAAAATTAACTGTGCATATCTATTTTTCAAAAAAGTTTTGTTTTATTTCTCAATGGAGGTGGGGTGAGGAAAGAAAAATGCTCCTTAATTGGAAAAAAAAAGATCCAAAGTGATCCCAAGAATGATCCCTTGATTCACCACCCCCTTGCTGGAGGATAAAGTAGAAGGGATATATCAATTCTAAAGCAGTTAGCCATGTTATCAATATGAAACCACTTTTAATCTCTTGGATGTGATCCTAAGAATGGTTCCTTGATTAACTAACTCCCTTGCTGGAGGCTAGAGACATATCAGTTCTAAAGCATCTAGCCATGCTATCAATATGAAAAGTAGTTTCATATCGATGGCATGGCTAGAAAGGGAAAAACTTTGGGAGGAAAGCTAATGTTTTGAATATGTTGAGTTTAAACTGCTTATGGAACTCCAGTTGGATGGCATGAATTTTTCCAGTGTAGTATAAACTGAGGTCAGTTGAAGAGAGAGTTGGCAGTGGTGCAGGTGGCCAGAAAAGGGAAGGTTTGGAACAGCTGCCATGGGAAATGTGATAGAGTTAGCCAGGGAAGAGTAGGAGGATTGTTATGCAGAAATGAGGACTCACTGAGAGTGGATGCCCAGAACAAGTAGCACTTGCAGAGAAGCAAATTTAGGGTTATGTAAGGAGAGACTTCCTACCAGTGCTATACAAAATTGGAATGGCCTCCTTCTGTAGTTAATGGGTTTTTCTGTCAAAAGTAGATGGGCCCCTCTGGAGTTAATGTATTTCTCCCCTTACTGGAAGTTTTTGAGCAAAAGCTGGTTGATTGTTTTGGGAATGTTGTAGAGGTGATTCATGGTCAAGTGCTGTTTGGATTACTTGGCTTCTGAGTTCCATTCCGATTTTGAAGTTTTGTGATTCTCTGGTCTTCCTCACTAAGTTCTCTGATTCTCTTAATAGCACCACCCTTGTTCTAGTACCATATGCTCGTAATCTTGGAGTTGTCTTTGACTCTTCTTTATTCCTCACTCTACACAACCAGTCATGTTGACCAGCATGACAGCCTTTGCAACTGTTGTGCTAAATTTATTTTGAATTTGATAGGGGCTTTTTTCTGATTATAAGCTATAATGCTTGATATGTTGGCAATATAAAAAGTGTGAGTATGTATCATTTTCATGTGAAAGGCTATGTTTATTCGAACCATGTTTTCTCCTCCTCCCTGTATACCACCCTTACCCCTTCCACCTCCTCCACTGGGAAACACCCTTACTGTATAGGACGGATCTCGAATGAGCAATGACCTTACTAGGAGGAGTGATGAGAGGTTGGTATTACCTAGGAGAAAGTTTCAGAGGCTGCCCTTCTAGGGGTTCATTGTTTTCCTTCTGCTTTGACCTGAAGCTCCTAGGAAGATAGATTCAGAGTTGGATCTTAGAGGCCATCAAATCCAACCCCATCATTTTATAGATGAGGAAATGGAGCCTACGAGAGGTTATCATGGGTTACTTAATGTTTGAAGCAAGATGTGTTCTCAGGTCCTCCTGGCTCTTTGTCCTGTACCTTGCCAATTAAAACACGTTACCTTCCAACCATCTTATTCAAGGCAAGCACTCTTCCACTAAGCTGAATAATCTGTGAATATATGTTGCTTCTCTAGGGAATCTGGTAACATCTATGTCCCTCTGGTGACAATTTTCCAGATATATCCTTGTCCCCCTTCCTTTCCCCTCTGAATGTCTCAATTTAAGCTGTAAGCCTTCCTTTTTGTCTGTTAAAACACATCAGATAGAGGCCTGTTTCTTTTAGCATTTAGTGGCTTGTATGTGTTTTTTTTTTCTTTTTGATGAGGCAATCAGGGTTAAGTGACTTGCCCAAGGTCACACAGCTAGTAAGCGTCATGTGTCTGAGACTGGATTTGAACTCAGGTTCTCCTGACTCCAAGGTCAGAGCTCTATCCACTGTGCCACCTAGCTGCCCCACAGTATGTGTCTTTTTAAGACCCCAAAGCAGATGTAATGGATTGGCTTACATGTTGATGCTGGCAAAGACACCAGGCCTTATGAAAAGTTGAACAGTAGTGAGTGTCTTCTATGTAGCAAATATGACAATTTATAATTAACACTATGTTCAGCTTCCTGAGCAGGAAGATGACATCCAAGAGATGAAAAGTGGTTTCATATTTCCTAATTAATGAGCATTTTTATTTCCTCACCCCACTTCAAACAAGAAGTTAAAAAAAAACCAAAACTATGCACAGTTAATTAAAAAAATTCCCACATTGTCTATGTCTAAAAATGTATTTAATTCTGCATATTTTATTATTATTTAGAAATTATTTTCCAATCAACAAAAATTCATACTCTCTCCCTCCCACCTCCCCACCCCCTGAACTGAGAAATAAAAGCAAAACGCATGTTTCAAACATATATGGTTAAGCAAAACAAATTTCTCATATTGGCTATTTCCAAAAAAAGTCTCAGTCAGTACTCTATCACCTCTCTAAGGTAGCATGTTTCATAATGAGTCCTCTAGAATTGTGGCTGGTCATTCACTTATCAGAGTTTCTAAGTCTTTCATAGTTGTTTTTCTTTACAGTGTTGTTGTTATTGTATATGTTGTTTTTTCTGGTTCTGCTCACCTCACTCTGCATCAATTCATGCAAGTCTTCCCAGGTTTCTCTGAAACCTTTCCCTTCATCATTTCTTACAGTACAATTCTATCACCTTTATATGCCTTACCTTCTTTAGCCATTCCCCAATTGCTGGGCACCCCTCATTTTCCAACTTTTGTCACTCCAATAAGAGCTACTGTAAAAAAAAAAATTTTCTTAAAGTTTGTTTTGTTTAGGACTAATTCTTCCCTTAATCTTTCCTCTCCTCCCTCTTCCCTTTTCCCTTTTCCCTCTGAATGAAATGTATTTCTGTACCCAACTCATTGTGTGTATATTCTTCCCTCCTTTGATCAGTTCATATGGAGTTGAGGTTCAACTGTCAGCCATTCTCCCTACCCCTTCTTCTTGATTGTATACACTATTACTTGTCCATCCAGATTATAAGATGATTTTTCCTATCCTTTCTCTCTCTTCCTTCCTCTTCTCCCCCCTCTCTCCCCACTTATTTCTTTTCTCCTCCTTTCCATTCTTCTTTTAGGATCATCAAAACATGATAGAACCACCCTCAGGACTTCTGTCAAATTGAGATGCCTTATGACACCTGATGATGTGAGTGACACATATACCATTTACATATATTATGAAGTAAACAGATAATCCATTTTTAGTCCCTTTTGATTACTGGCTTATGTTTGCCATTTTAGTGTAATTATTTTTTTGTTTGTATTTCAAAGTTTCTACGCATCTCTATTCTTTTCGTCAGGAATGCTTGAAAATCCTCTATTGTATTAAAAGTCAATTTTTTCCTCTCCTGTAGGATTATACTCAGTTTTGCTGGATAAGTCACCCTTGGTTGTAAGCCTGTAGGCTCCACACTGGATTGGGACCTGGAACCGAGATTCTGTTCCACACCTAGAGTTAGAGCCATAGAATTGATGCTAGCTTCTGCTCAGTGAGGAGCCTAGCATTTGTGACCATTAGGCCCAGGTCCCCTCCTTAGTCTACCCTAGATCTGTAACCCTGAGCTGGAATGAGTGACAGAACCACCATTTGGCATGTATTATTTTGCTGAGCACAAGGTTAGGCCCCCTTGGATAGGCCTAGTATTTCTTCTTGTCCTATGAAAGAGAAGCCTCAGCTCTCTTTCAGTTTCTGTGTTTGAATGTTTCTTATTGCATACTCCTGGCTGGACCCCATCTGATCCCAGTGTCCATGGGCCTCTCTGTCTCCCTATGCTGATCTGGAAAATGGCGTACTGATTTTTTTTTCATTGGATTTTCTAATCAGGACTCAATTTGGTGCTTCTTTTGAGATCTTTGTGGTCTTGCTTACTACTCTATCTCTACCTCCCTACTTACATCTCTACCTCCTCTAGTCACTTTCTCAACATAATTCTATACTATTCTCTCCAGAATGGCTGGATGACTTCATATCTCCATCAACAGATCATAGGATCATAGATTTAAAGCTGGAAGGGAAGTTATAGGTTATCTAGTCCCACTATCTCATTTTGCAGATGAGGAAATTAAGTCCCAGACAAATTAAGTGACCAGGCCCAGGTCACAATGGTAATGAGTGGAAGAACCAGCATTTTGCCTTACAACCTCTGACTCCAAATACAACATGCTACCATGCCTGTCTTTGCCTAGCCCCTCAAACGTCAACTATTCTTATCTTTTTTCATTTTCTAGGTGGTAGCATCTCATCAAGTAATTCTTTTAAGGTGCAAAATTTTCATCTTTATTTCAAATATAAAGAAGACAACAAGCACTAGGAAAAAATAACGTAGATTGCTAATGTCTATCTTTTTCCACGTTTCTCTACAGTGGAATGAAACAATTGAGCTTTTTCGTGATAAGATGCCATTAAGGAAACATCGAAGTCATTTTAAAAGCTACGAACGTTGCTTTACAGCCTCAGAAGCTGTGGATTGGTTACACGATCTACTCAGGCATAGCCAGAACTTTGGCCCAGAAGTGACTCGCAAACAAACAGTACAGCTGCTAAAAAAGTTCCTGAAAAATCATGTTATTGAAGACATCAAGGGAAGGTGGGGTCAGGAAGATTTTGAGGACAACCGACATCTTTACAGGTACCTTGTCTCCTTCAAAGCCCAATTCTGTGCCTTCTGATCCTACCAGTGGTATGTGCTGAAGCGGTTGTGGGGGTCGGGTATTGGGAACGAACTGTTTGTCTATCTATTTATCTTATCTTATCTATCTATCTATCTATCTATCTATCTATCTATCTATCATCTATCTAGCCATCTATTTATCCATTTATTCATTCATTCATGCATTCATATATTTATCTACTTATGTGCCAAGAACTATGCTAAACATTGAGAATACAAAGGCAAAAATAAAATAGCCTTGAGAAGCTTACATTCTATTATAATTTCTGAAATAAGAATGTCCATTCTTCTTTGCCTACTCTTTTCTCTTCTTTGATTGCATGGCTTTATTTGAGGGCGGAATGAATTCTACATGTATTACAATATTAATTCTACTGTAGTCCTCCTGGGTCCTTCTCTATGTTGTATTGCATTCTTTTTTTTTTTAAATTACATTTTCTTTTTTATGTGAACTCAGTCATCAATAAATACAAAGAACAACAAGAAAGAAGATTTTATTAGAAATTGTGAACTGCTGTTAGGTATAGTTTGTTTTAAAGAAATATATATGTTTATGTGTATGTGTATATAATATATAATACATTATGTATATAAATTTATGCACATGTACATAATTTGTGTTTGTGTATATATGTATACATATATTCACACAGACACATAGATATATAAATTTATAGTAGCTAATATTTATGTAACTCTTGCTATGTGTCAGGCACTGTGCTAAACACGTACAATTTTTATCTCATTTGATCCTCACAACAACCCTGGAAGTTAAGAGCTATTATGCTCCCCATTGTATAGATTAGAAAGCTGAGGTAAATGGGTTAAATGACTTGTCCAGGGTCCCACAGCTAGTAAGTGTCTGAAACTGACTTTGAATTCAAGTCTTCCTGACTCCCAAGCCCAGCATTCTATCCGCTGCATCATATATATATTACATTTAATTACATTTTCTTTTTTATGTAAACTTAATCATCAAGAAATACAAATGTTGCATATACAAAAAAGAAGAAGAAAGAATTTTATTAAAAATGGAACTGCTGTTAGGCACAGTTTTTTTAATATCTAATTTTATTTATTACATATAATAAATAAGATTTGAAACTGCTCTGTGTTCCCTTCACTTTTCTAAAATAGTTTTTTGCTTATCTATCACTTTCCCCTCTCCCTCTTAGTAGTTCTCTCTTGTTATAATATAGTTCAAAAGAAATCAACATATTGGCCATGTCTGAAAATACATATCTCGTTCATGGAAGGGACCTTAGAGGTCACCCATATAGTCCAATTCCCTTATTTAAATATGAGAAAACTGAGACCCAAAGAGCTTTGTGACTTAACTAAGGTCACACAGGTAGGGAGAGTTGGGCTTCAAACTCAGAATGTCTAACTTCAAATGCAGCACTCTTTCCACCATACCACACTGACTCACATTCATATATTATGATTTGGCCAGCTGTTCCCCAACTGATGGTCACTGATTTTGTTCCAGGTCTTTGCTATTACAAAAAGTGCTGATATACTACACACCATGTAGTGGTGTGCTGGGGCCAGCTTGTATGGGCTCACAAGAGTTGGTTGTTAAATTTTCATAATGAGAATTTAACACTCAGAAATTGGCAAATGCTGCAAATTAGAGCTTGATTTATTATTTTATTGATTGTCACTCTAGACTTAAGAAAGTGATGGAGGAAATGCTAATAACAAACTAAAAGTGTGTGTTGTGTTGTGTGTGTGTGGGTGTGTGTGTATGTGTACACAAACATGCATATATAAAAATGAATAAAAGAGCAGATTGTTAAACATTTGTATGAATAACTCTGCCTCTGTGTTCTTTTGCTCTGTCCTCAGAGTTGTTTTCATTTTCATTTCTGGAATTATTAGTTTAGAACATTTTTTCATGTGGTTGTTAATAATCTGTATTTCTGATTTTGAGAACTAGCTATTCCTATCCTTTGACTACTTATCTGTTGGAGAATAGATCAAACGTTCTTATATATTTAGAACAATTTTTTATATATCTTAGATATTAGACCTTTATTAGAGAATTTTGCTGTGAAGGTTTTATTCCAGTTGTTTCCCTTCTAATTGCATTTGTTCTCTTGTGCAAAAGCTCTTCAGTTTTATGTAACTGAAATTGGTCACCTTATCTTTTATGATCACCTGTGTTACCTGTTTAGGTAAAAATTCTTCCCATAGCTATATACCTATCTCCCTTTCCAAAATAAAAAAAAATGATATGACCTTTTATATTTTATATGCATCCTATATCCTATAAACTATATACCACAAGTATTGTAGTATATAGTGGAAAATATTATTAATACATTAGTATAAATCTAATTTCTTTCCTGTTGCTTTTCAATTTTCCCAGAAGGTTTTGTTAAACAGGGAAGACTCCTTTGCTCTGTAGTTAGTATCCTTGGATTTACTAAATACAATGCTACTATGTTAAAAAATTCCTGGGTTTTGTTTACCTAATCCATTCCACTGATCAGCTTTTCTGTTTTGTTTTTTTTTTAAACAGAATCCACTGGTTTTGATGATGACTGCTTTGTAGTACAGTTTGAGATCTGGTACTGCTGCCCTAGCCTTTCCTCCCCTTTATCCCTATGCTTTTTCATGATTTCCCTCGAGATTCTTGACCTTTTATTCCTCCCTTCTGCAGCATTCTTGAAATGCACTGTTTTTTCTGCACATAGAGAAAACAAACACTCCAACTTTTTTTTGCTTCTTGTACATTTTTCATAGAATCTGAAAAAGCAGATAGGCTAGCTCAGGAGGGTTGTACTGAGCCCCTTTGAGCAATGCAGAGCTCCGACCTCAGCTGGTGGTTAATTTGGCCTTTGTGAAAAATACAGGGCCAATATCCAGGAATTTTGCCAATGTTTCATTTGTTCCTATTTAGCCCTGACAATGCAAATCTATCTCCCCTTACCCTGTTCTCACAGTCTCCTGTCTTGGTGCAAATTAGACAAATTATGTGGTCACTTTTATAATATGAACATTAGCAGGTGCAAAATAAGCCAGGGAAATGGAGTCTTTTTCCCCCTCAAACCTCTTCACTTTCCCCCAGTATTCTTGGCTGTTTGCAGAGTAATGAGATTGGGAAGCAGGTGGAAGGACATACAGGGTGTCCAGAAAGTCTTAGTGCACTTCTTTGGGTTAGTAGCTTGAAATTGCATTCAGACTTTTGAAACACACTGTATACAGGTTTAAAGGGAAAAAAGACTAAGCCTTAGAAGAAAAGAGAGGTGAATGTGTCTAGAGAAGGGCTGTGACTGTTAGATCCTACTGGCAGGGGAAAATAGAGATAATGAAGAATATGGGCAATTGCATACCGGCTTCCTCATGTTACTCATAGAGAAGCTATAGAAGCTTACCATCTTGCTATTGGAGACATGCTGTCCTGGGCAGAACAATCCTGTTAGTTACTTCCCCTGGACTCTGACTTTGGGAGACGTTCTTTTACTTAAGATAGGATCAAAGATTTAGAGCTGGAAGGATATGTAGGAGAATGGATAGCTAGGTGGCACAATGGATAGAGTGCCAGGCCTGGAATCAGGAAGACTCATCTTCCTGAGTTCAAATCTGACCTCAGACACTAGCTATGTGACTCTGGGCAAGTCACTTAACCCTACTTGCCTCAGTTTTCCTCATCTGTAAAATGACCTGGAGGAGGAAATGGTAAACAACTCTAGTGTCTTTATCAAGAAAACTTCAAATAGGGTCACAAAGAGTCAGCTATGAACAACAGAACAACACAGTCAGAAATATAAATGATACAAACTTACCAAAAACCCCAAATTTGAAAGGATAATCATTAAAATTGCTACAATATTGATACAATGCTTTTATTAAAATTCAACATAACCACCATTTTGTGTTATATATTGCTCTAGTTGATTTTCAAACTTTGTAAACTTTGTAAAATCTTTCATCAGCTGCTGCTCAGTGATTGAAAGGATTGCATTTGTAAGTTTAGCCTTAATTTCACCCAAAGAAAGAGGTTCTGGTGCGTACCCAAAAATTTTGATGTGCGCCCCACAAGAAAAAGTCTTTTGGAGATTTAAACTGACTTCCTCCACAGTTGTGCAGCATTAGATTTCACTTGCATGTGTTCATGTGAGTTTGTTCCTTATACCTCAATTCAACTGTCAAGACTTTGAGGACAGCATCATCTGTTTCAGGCCACCATTTTTGCTTTTCTTCTGTTCCCAGTGCAGAGTTTTATGTACATTGGTTGTCCTGAATAATATTGTTGATTATGAATTCTTAGGGGGCCAAGCAAGGGGACCACCTATAAGCATTGAACGGTCGGCTAAAATGTCATCCAGAAGCCTTTGCACGTGCAATGTGTTATTCAGATGTATCATTCAAGTGTGTTATTATTATTCAATGTATTATTCAAAATTTATAAAACCAATAAATGCTAAAGAAATTTAAATAATTAAACTTTCAAGTCATTCTTTTTGTAGGTTTGTAGCATTTACACTTCTGAAGTTATTAAATCTTAAAATAGAACTAAGACTTTTGGGACATGGTAATTATCATAAAGTTGTGGGATCTACTAATCTCTGGTTCAATTTGCTACTTATGGGTGGACAACTTTAAGTGAGTGGGAAATTTTTTAGGGAATTCTTTCTAAGTCCTGTAAAAGTGCATGTTAAATGACTAGTCCTTATCCTTGAGGATAAAGTTTATGTAACAGAGGAGGTTATAAGCAAAAAAAAAGTATAGAAATATAGAAGGGCAGGTCTAGGACTGTGCCTCGGAATCAGAGAATAGGTATAATTTAATCAGACAATGATTTCTGGAGGAAATGGGTCTCAAGATGTGATTTGAGTGGAGAAAGTTCATGTATGGGTGAATTCTAGAGCAAAATTTGTGAATGAATCCTTTAAGAATGTTCCAAACTCTGATGTTCACATGTATCTGACATTAGCTGAATGCAAGTGTAC